CTGATAGGCAGGTGTTTTTCCCACGGCACACCTTACACTATGCCACGGCACACTAGTGTGCCGCGGCACAGTGGTTGAAAAACACTGGTCTAAAACCACCAAATAGTTTGTGTAAAAGGTGAGATTTAATTCAGAAGCTTCTTTTACCCTAAGCATCACCTGGCAGAAGACTATTGTGTTTCCCTGAAACTAAGATCTGGTCTTAATTTCTTTTGACTGCTGAAATAAGCGCTAGGGCTTATTTTTTGGGGGGGCAGGATGTCTTAATTCTTCCCCTCTTGCCCTTCAAGGCAGTTGTGTCCCAGAGAAGCCGAAAGTGGTGCTTTGGCTTCAGTCTCTGCTACCGCAAAATGCATTGCTGGCACTCACTAGCATGCTTGAGGCCAGCAAGCAGGCATGGTTGGAGCCTCAGCTGCAGCTTCTTCACTTTCCTGCCTTTTGTGAACTTTTGGCTGCACCCAAGGAAAGCAGGAACAGCAGAGACCCTGGATTATTTTTCGCCCCCCAATTCTACCAGAAATGGACCTTTGTGAGGTTTGTTGCACCGGTGCAACCGTTTGGAGCAGGACACCACAAGACTTGTTATGGTGTTGTGTGCACGAGCAGCGGCAGTGCTGCGAGGTTCGTCACGCCTGTGCAGCTGCTTGCGCACACAATAGCACAACAAGCCTCATGGCGTCCTGCCGCAAGCGGTGGCATCGGTTCAACGAACCTGGCAAAGATCCATTTCTGACAAAGTTTGGGGGAGGGAAACAAGCCAGGGTCTCCGCTGCGTCTGCTTTCCTTGCGTGCAGCCAAACGTTCACAAAAGGCAGGAAGGTGAAATGCCAAGCTCGACCCGTACCAATACCTCATGTATTAACCCCAGCCTACTACCCAAGCGACTCTTCTCTCCTGATGAGGCTTTAGAAATACCTCGCAAGCGAAATCACCCACTATTTTGCCATGAACCATCCTACCCACGAGTGAGGGCAAAGCTAAAGCAGGAAGAAGCGGCCACTTGTGTGTTGTGCTGTGAGAGGCTGCTGGGCAATGGCGTGACAGGTGTCGAGGCATGGGAGGCCTGGCTGTGGCGGTCCTAAGGTAAATAGGTGTGGGATGCATGGTGCAGCTCCACCCGCCCTAGTGTGATTTTTACGCCTGGGCCTCCACCTCATGCAACCAGACAGTGGATGGGCTTAACTAGGGCTTTTTTCAGGGTAGGTCATATTTTCGGGGAAACACGGTAGGTTTCTTGATGGACAACCTTCTTGCAAGAATATCTGCCTCCTCACGTAAACCCAGAGCATGCATCTTTGGGATTTTGTCATCTTATGGGACCTCGAGTGATCTCCCTCCCCCTCCACCAAGCCTCAACTTTTCTCACCTTTAGGAAACTGTCATGGCCTGACTCTTCTCTCAGGCATTAAGGGGGCAGTGGAGTGCAAGTCCCCTTGTGGTTTTGTTATGTGCACAGTTGCCATTTTATATTTGGTGTTTTGTATATTAATCCAGTCAGGAGTGTAATTTCATTTCTATCCCATTAGGTTCCATGCAGTCCTCCCAAATTCTTCTCCAGGAGTCTAGACTCCCTTGGAGCCATTATGAAGGGGCTGACTGGAGAAAGAGGACCAGAGGACCACAATATAACATCAAACTGTACATATGTTTCCAGGGACTTACTGGAACCAATGGGTAACAGTCATCATCACGTAAAGAGACGCCAGGAAGAATACAAAGTGGAAATAAGCATAGCTGTATACTGTTCCTTTCTTTTCATCATAAATTACTCTCTGACCGCCTTTTCTCCCAATATGCTCTTCAACTTCAGCTGGGTAAAACAAACATAAAGAGAAACATGATATACTTAGATCTAAATCAGTAACATATACTCAGAATAAAGTTAACAATGCAAAATAACCCACTGTTGAGTTTGAAACAGCTGTTTTAAGCCTGGAATGGCCCTGCGACAGCGGTTTTAACCTCAAAACACTTCTGGGAAAAAATTGATACAGCCATTTTGCATTTGAATGGGGTCATTTCAATTCTGAAACATTTTGCACATGCATGCTATACGCACTTACCTGGGAAAAAAATCCCTGGGATTACTTTTTTGTTAACCCAGCTAGAATTGCCTTGAAACTCAACTAAAAAGATTGGGGGGGGGGGGGAATCCATTCTTAAAGTGATATACTAAAGCTACCCATATTTAATTAGTCCCCTTTCATTTCTTAAGAGTATTTTTACTTTAAGTGATAGTTGCTGGTCTTTGGTCAAGGAATACAGTCATTGAGAGCTGAGCAATTGATAGTAGGGTCAAGAATTCTGACTGGAAGAGAGCCAAAGGAAGCTCTCTGCAGTGGCTTGTCTTTTGTTTGATATGTACTTTCACACATTAAACAGAATTGCATTTAATTTCATTTAATTTCTCCCTGACCTTGATATCCTTCCCACTTGTGGAAGGACACATGAATACAAACTTACTACTGAACTACAATCCTTCTCCTTGTTGAGAATTTTCTTCTCAATTTAATGGCAACTTATTATAATTAATTCCAGAAGAAAATATATTCCACTGACACATCGGATGAAAATGCTATTTTCCATCCACAGCTATGTTCTTTTTAAAGTTGTGTCTGTAATCAACATGTTTGTGGTTATAATATGTATTTCAGGTTTTATGCTTCTTATGTGGTTATATGGTTTTTCTCCACACACAGAAGCAAATCTAAAAAAAAACCCTGCAGTGCTTTAAGATGACAAAAATAACTTTCCAAGGGAATCTTTTTAATGCACATGTATCTCAAGTTTTAAGAGATTTTATATGCATCTGAAGATTCTGAAAATGCTGCCATATCTCCAATAGGCTCTTCCCCACTCCAAATATGTGATAAACTAGCATCCTATGTAGCCCTTAAATCTCAATTCCTGCTGGTGAAGCCAAATAACTGGGAGCTGAAAACTCCAAACTAATAAAAATATCATAGTACTTCTGCTAGTAATCATAATAACTGCAGCTTTAAAAAGAATCTATTTCTGTGTCTGTGGGAGTAGTTTAAAATATGATGAAACATTTTTATGAACTTGATAGCACTTATAAAATATACAAACCAATCAAATGCAAAGGTAATCAGAATTAGAAATATAGCATGACAGTTCTCATGTTTATTTATTTATATCTTGAGCGGATGCGATGGTGCAGCAACTTAATGAAGCTGGAACTGCTGGCCAGAAATGGCCTGCATCCAGCAGTTCAAACCCAAGTCTGCAAGAAGGGGTGAGTTTCTGCTGCTTGTTCCCCAGTTCCTGCCCACCCAGCAGTTCGAAAGCTCAAAATATTGCTCGAAATGGATATCACTTTGGCGGGAAAAACCTAGCTGTGTTCATGTGTGCAGAGCGCGCAAGCTGGTGCTGGACCTGGCCGGATGCGAGGCAATGCAACACAAGGAAGGGGAGCCCAAAAAGAGCCAGCAACCCAAGCGCCACTAGTCATCTGGTGTAAGCCAGTGTGCCTCCCGTGGTGCAACCAGGATAAGCACACAAGTGTTGAACAGAATGAACTAGCAATTTAGGCTGTCAGGACTGCATTTTGTCTAGCGTTTGTAGATTGCTGTATGCCGTATGCTAAATAAATAAATATTTATGTCCCGCCTTTATTATTTTTACAAATAAGACATCCAACATATCCAACACACCTTCCTCCTGTGAGGTGGTTTGAGCTGAGAGAGAACGAGTGGCCCAAGTCACTTAGCTGGCTTTCATGGCTAAGGCGGGACATGAACGCATAGTCTCCCGCTTTCTCTGTTTTAAAGAACACAAATCTGCACAAAAGAAAAAAAGGGCAATTCTCACCAACTCCATCAGGAGCACAGCAGAAACAGCAGCGAGCTATCTATAACAGAGAGACAAAACCAAAAGGTTTTTTTCCAGTAGTTCAGAAACAAATAAGTCAATGCTGATACTCCTCAAAATATTTCAATGAAACATTTTTAGTAAAAGGATAATACTGGATTAAATTCACTGTACAGTGAACTTAAAACCAATCAAATCATTTTGTAGTCTTCCTGAAGTACTTTCATTTTCGTTCCAAGGACCATGATGCCATGATTTTTATACTGGCAACTTTTCCTTTTGTCAATAGCTTACATTAAAAAGAAAAAGCTTGGAATATATGCTTGCAAAGAATGGATTTTTCTCTTTTAGGTTTTTTCTTTGAAATCAGAGATTATTTTTTATAATAGCAACCTTTTGGTACTCCTTGCTTAATGACGGTAATTGAGATTGGAATTTCCATTGCTAAGGAATGTGGTCATAAAGCGAGACACATGATTGCACCAGATTCTGTTGCCATCTCACAGGACTGGAACTTGTCGTGACCCGTCAAAACCGCGCTCGACTAAACCGTGCCCGATTAAACTGCGTCGCTGACATCATCAACAGGGCAACAACAGCCAGCGCGGAGAAAGAAGGGCGCTTTAAATAGCGCTTTGAAAGCAAGCCGATTCAACTTAAGGTAAGGGTTAGGTTTAGGGTTAGGGTTAGGTTAAGGGTTAGGGTTATGATTAGGTTTAGGGTTAGGGTTATGGGTTAGGTTTAGGGTTAGGTTAAAGGTTAGGTTTAGGGTTAGGTTTAGGATTAGGTTTAGGGGGGTTGGGTTTAGATTTAGGGTTTAATTTTAGGTTTAGGGTTTACAGCGTGCTTCTGTCTCCGCGCTGTTGTCACCCTGTTGATGACGTCAGCGACGCGGTTTAGTCGAGCGCGGTTTTGTGGTGGAACCGGAACTTGTGACTTCCTACTGGCTTTCAACAAAATCAATGGTGAAGCCAGCAAGAAGTTGTAAGTCCCAGTCACAAGCTTTTCCTTCGGTGGGTAGCAAGGAGGCTGGCAGGCAGGGGAGTGCTATGGAGTGTGGCCGAGTGCTGTGATGCATGACTGCAGCATGAGTGCAGCATTCCTTCTCTGATTCAGGCTGTAGAGCATGCATGTGGCAAGGCTGAGAGATGCGCAGCTCTGTGGTTGTGCAACTGCAGTGGTGCTGTGTGCATATAGTGCAAGTGTAGCAGGGCTAGGGGTGCATGGTTTGAGTGTAGCGGTCTGTTTGTGTGTGTGTGTGTTTGTGTGTGCATGTCATGTGTGAGGGCAGCTAGTCATCTGCTCACCCTGTTGCCCAGGGACTCCTTGGGAGAGAAAGTGGCGGGAGAATCTTACAATCTTTCCTGCCAGTTTTCCCACTGACTTTCTGGGAAGCCAGCAGGGAAGGTCGCAAATAATGATGTATCCATGGGATACTGCAACTGTTGTAAGTGCAAGTCAGTTGCCAAGTGCCTGAGTCATGATCACTTGACAGCAGGGACACTATGACTGGCACACAGTGAAAGTCCTTGAAATTGTTAAGTTCCACTCACTTAATGCTGTCATAACTTTGAATGGTTGTTGAACAAGTGGTGGGTCCGCAAGGCCTATCTGTAGTTAGTTAGCTATGTGATTTTGTAATATACATATTATAAAGAAAATTTTAAAGATTTTAAAGAAAAAATTATTTTTTTAAAAAAAAACATCTGTATAAAATATTTTTAAAAGCAAAGGAATATGCCTCAGTTTTGATGAGTGATTACTACAGCAAGAAAGTACATTCTGTAAATGCACATTTAATTTTGACAGTCTCTAATTAGGTTCTTCCAAATAAATATGAGCACCAAAATAGCCATGTAAAAAGTTATGTTTAGCAGCTATTCTGGTCTTGGAAATCCTTGCAGGATGCAGTTAGCAATGTTGCCATGCATATAAAGAGTCCTTCACAATGTGACTAACAGTCAAGTTCAGATGCAAGAAAGCCTCTCTATTTAAAAGAAGCAGCTGGAGAATTATGTTTACATTTCTAATCAGGAGACAAAAGAGCTTCTGTCACCGGGATGAATGAGACCTACAATTAGTTGCCTGCTGCTAGTCTTCTCTTTATGTTTCCCTACAATAGTTCTTGTAGTGCTCTTTAAGAGCAAATGATCTAAAAATAATGCTATTATGGTACACTTCAGTACTACATTTCTAAGCTCTCCCGTGCAGCTCGAACTATTGTCCCAGACAGCATCCATCTGGGCTGGCTCTTGCTTAGCACAAGAACGCTGCTTTTTGGTAGCACTGTCTAAAGTGGAAAGCGTGTGACACCACATGTGGCAACTTTGACATTGCTGCTGGTCCAAACGAGATGGAAAGGATAACAATGACTGCAACATTATGGAAAGCCTTAAAGTAGGTTAATACCCAATGTCGCAGACAAGACATTGAGGCCTTTTTTTGAAATATCTTTTCAAAACTAACACTTCAGTAGCATCTGCAAAAAATACCAGCTGGTGGGATATGAACATAAAAACAAGTTTTAGATCTTCTGTTAACGCAAACAAGTTGGCAGCAACAGATACTAAAAACTGAATTGTGTTTCCATTTGATTGTGTTTATACAAGCCAGACCAAGATACAGATAGCTGGAATGATAGTTGACGGCCAGAAAATATGAGGCAGCACCAGTATGATAGCAAGACCCTGAATATTGTGGCTTAACCTCCTTGAAATTATAATGCTGCATTTATTTCTTTTTTCTCTATAAGTAACTCCACATAACATAGAAGGGATTATGAACCACTAATACAATTAGTATCTGCACATACACCCTCGTTTGTAATATATTTTCCACCTCTCTCTATTCTATTCTTTTTTCTTCTACACAAATAGCCTGCATCTACAATATTTAGAATCCTCCTCAGCAAAAACTCTAGTTTTTGTAATAAGTGAAATTATGTTAAATTTCTAGGTGAGCTTCAATAGACAGTAAGATCAGCAAATGAACAAAATATTTAAAAAGTATAATGATTAAATCTGAAAATATGCAACTCTGTGTGGTCATTTGTTACGGTGTTATAATCTCTGAATCCAAATATTTCCCCTGAAGGAACACAACACTATAACCTTACCTTATAGTTATTTGCTACTGTACATCAAAGTAGGAATTACTTTTAGAATAACTAACCATGAAATGAGGCCAAACGACATGTTTGCATTTGTAGACTTGCTCTAATATGGAAGCTTCACTATGCAGATTTCTGTTTCATCAGGGAAGAGGAAAAGGGCATCATGCCAATAAGGCAACAAGAATTAAGAAAAAGGACCATCTTATCAGGCCTTTTGCAGTTAATCTCTCAGCTTACCTTGTTTGTTGAAGCTTCTATATTAAAGTGGCAATTCAATAGCCTTCAATTTTGGAATGAAATAAGAATCTGTTCTGATTTGACTTGGTCACCTTTTAAAAGCTAATCAGAAAATAGAGAAAAGATTAAAGGGAAAAGGAGGAATGACTACTGTAGGGGTGGATGTCTCACCAAGAAGCCATCTGTTTTTAGCTAAAAGCAGGAGTGGTTCAACCTTGGCAACTTTAAGACTTGTGGACTTCAACTTTCGGAATTCCCCAATCAGCCATGCTTCCTTCTGGCTGGGGAATTCTGGGAGCTGAAGTCCATAAGTCTTAAAGTTGCCAAGGTTGGACACCGCTGGGCTAGAGCATTGGGTTGTATGACAATCATGACTCACTTCAGTTTCAGGTGTAACATATATCCCTCTGAGTGCTTCAGAGCTTGCTCGTGTTGTTGAGGTCAAACTAGAGAAAAAAACAGAAAGGAAAGATTGGGTCTGTTGTAATACCGTATATTGATGTTCAAGGGCTATTTTTTCCCCTAACAACATATAAAAGTTTCAACAAGATGGCAATTCCTATGGGATTACATGTAACATAGAAGCCTTGAAGTTCAAAGATCCTTGATTTATGTAAGCTGCCTCTTCTGTGCACAGCAAGAGAAACCTGATAAAAATGGTCTATTCTAGCATTCCCACCCGCACCCCCTTTCTGTTCAATCATATCTGGTTCTTGGGAGACTGCATAAGGCATGCATTTATGCTGCGGTGTCCCGGGCTCATGTGATTACCATGACCATCCTAGCGGATTTCCAACAGACAAAGTCAATGGGGGAAGCTGGATTTGCTTAAGAACCACATGATTCACTTAACAACTAGAGAAATTTGCTTAATAACCATGGCAAGAAAGGCAGTAGCAATGGGCACCAATCCCCTTAACAACTGCCTTGCTTAGCAATGAAAATTTTGGGTCCAATTTTGCTTGCAAGTTGAAAATTACCTGTACTTTGTATACTAAATACTAAATATTCCTTGACCTATGACCATTTAATGATGGTTCAAACTTACAACAGCCTAAGAAAAAATTACAACCCATCCTTAAAATTACAACTGTCTACCCTGTGGTCACATGATCACAATTTGGGCTTTTGGCAATCAGCTCATATTTACAAAAGTTGCTGTAAATTTCCCAGGCAGTTTCCGACAAGAAAAGACAATTGGAGAAACTGGATTTGCTTAATAACTCTGTGATTCATTTAACAGCCTCAATAAAAATGGTCATGAAGTCATATCTGGTCATATGAAGATTTTCAAAGACTGCATTGCTTAGCGACTTTTGGTTCCAGTTGTGGTCCCAAGACTACCTGTAGTTTTTCAATTAAGCCATTTCTCAATTCCTTAAATAAAAATGTTTTATTTATATAAATTTGATAGATAACAAGCTATTGCAGATAGCAAGCTGCCAAATAGTTACTCCCCTCTGAGAAGTAAACAGATATCTGTCTATTTGCATAAAATTGTATTACAACTGAAATGAAGACTTACCAGGAATATAAAATACAACAGAATAAAATTGTAGTTCCCAGCCCAGTCACCAAATTTTCATCTGTTTGCAGCCCTTGGCCAAAGTCAGGCGCACAGATTGTTTTATTATTTTGATTCTCATCTAGGACTTGAAAAAGAGCCCACAATTAGCACAATTAATTTTATATTTCATGTATCCAATTATCTACATATGCTTTAGTTTGGACAATGGCATGTTTCCTTCTTTCAAATTCCCTCAAATTTCCTGCATCTCTTAATTTGTGGAAAATCTTCTAAGTCTGCGCAGCCGATTTCTGAACTGTATGAGGGCTGCTGGAGGGAGCAGAATTGATTCCCTCCTTTGAGTCTAAAAATAGAAATTATTCCATTTAAAAACAAAGGAATTACTTTTAAATATGGAAAGATATTGAAATTGATTGTGATTTAAACATCTTAAGAGATAACTTACAAGATAAAGTTGCTGCAATTCTTTTCTCTTTAACTAGATGTATTAACAAAATGTATGAGGATTAGTTCTCCATGGTAGTGGATCTGACTATTTGAGAGACCGCCTTCTGCCAATTACCTCCCTTCGTCCCATCAGATCGCATAGAGTAGGCCTCCT